TAGAGGTCCCTTCCAACCTTAAATATTCTGTGAATGTGTGAATCTGTGAAGGCTATTAAGTTCATCAGACATGACTTCCCCTTGGTGAATCCGTGTTTACTACTCCTGATCGCCTTATTTTTCTTTACATGCCTAGAGATGCTCTCTAGGAGGAGGTGCTCCATCACCACCGTAGGTGAGACTAACCAGCCTGTAGTTTCCTGGCTCTTCCCTTTTGCCCTTTCTGAAGGCAGGAATGACCTGCCTTTTGAAGGCAAGAATGACCTCTTTCTTCCAGTCCTCCAGTGGCTTTGATGTACTCGTGTGAACAATGTGAACGGTGGCTTTGATCTTCTCAAGGAGGTCAGTTCACAGTCATTTTGGTGGTGGAGAAGAGCCAGCAAACACAAACCATAGCAGTTTGGCAACAAGGAGGCAAATAAGGTGCAGAAATGACTCCTATTTTAAACCTAGTGACTTCTGAATGCAGAGGATTTGCAAACACATTYCCCCTGGTCCAAATTGCCATCGCTTTAGATACCTTCATATCTCTTGGTGTGTCCAGAAAGGAACAAATCAACATTGATTCCCCTGTACCTTCTCCATCCCCATTTCCCCCTTCAACTAGAAAGGACAGTTTCTCTTGCTGGAGGTCAGGATTTACCAAGGTTGACGTGATCAGGGTGGGGGGAAGAGGAGAGTGGGGCTGGCTGCATCTTTTCACATCCAACGCTATTATAGCTTCTTTGGTAGAGATGGTGGTTATTTGAAGCAGAAATGTTCTGCAAATGGTCACAGCTTTCTTTCAAAAAAGCAAAAGCCATCACAAAAAGCAAGAGCCAGTCCTGCTGARCAGAAGTTACATCCAAAAAAGAGAAAGTGGATGTGCAAAGTGCAGGGTTGTCTTCATCTGCTTGAGGTAGTCTCTGAATGTATGGAAAACATTACCGAAAGCCACATTTGACTGTTCAGACCCCTAATGTAGAATGACCTGGTTATTTCAGGCTTGTTTTTTTCCCTTTAGACCTAACATTGCAAGTTTTGGTTTGAGTAGAGAAGAGATTTCTGCTGAATTTGATAGGTGGTGAATGCTGGCAATGGGCACATTGAAACCTTGGCCATTTGGTGCCCCATGGGAAGATACTTGTAATGATTTTCCATTGAAATGAGGACTGTTAGGTGCATTGCAGTATAATAAAGAGATTTGGGACATATTTTTGTGGACTGACTTGCCACAAAGATACAAAATACCTGATGCTCCAAGGAGGCTCTTGTCCAGGTAGTGCCCATCATCAATTATCACCTGTGGGATGCCCAGCAGCTGGTGAGGAGGATGGGGATGATAGAGCCTGTGTATATTGGGCAGTGTATTTGACCAGGCTGTGCTCCCCATCTGGACACAACCCTGGGCAACATGCTGTGGTTGACCCTGCTTGAGCAGATGATCGCCAGAGGTTCCTTCCAACCTCCACCCTTCTGCGATTCTCTGAAATGTGGACATCAGTGCTGACATTTTGGTGCCTTCATGGTCCAGAGGTCGCAGGAGAGTGGGAATCTGAGGGGCACTGGAGCAGTAATGTGCTGGGAAAGGAAATGGTTATCTTCTCACTAGCCCACGGCTTGGCATTTTGCTTTGAGATCTTCAGCGTTAGCGTCCTGTTCGCAATCACGGAGTCTCCAAATAACTTTCCRAGGAGCTTCTTGATTGCTGCAGCGTGTGTATTCCTACATGCATTGACAGCCTGATTTTAGGTACAGTCTAAAATAAAAATCTGCCAAACTGCTGCTTCTCCAGCAGTGACTGCAGCAATTTTTAATTAACCTGATTTAGATGCCAAATATATCACTGATGAAAATGAGAGTGCAGAACATGCAGCCATTTATTCCAGTACAGTGGTCGTGAGTGTTGAATTAGATGTATTCAAATCAACTTTAATTTTTTTTTCTGCAGTCGTAGGTTGTGCAGTGGGTGCCAGGTCTTGAGTAGAGTCAATTAATGGATGTGGGATGGAGGGATCGTAATGTGCTCATCTTCCTGGGACAGGGAGCAGAGCCCCACGCTTGCTTGTATTTAATAAAGCAGGGGTGGGAATCTGTTGGCTAATTGCCTCTTCTCGGTTTTGCTGGCATGCAGGAGATGACATCGGTGGAGCTTGGCGTGGAGACACCAAGGAGGGTGCCTGCTGCAGGCCACCAAACTGGATCAGCCTCCGGGCTGCAGGCCAGGGAGATAGATGGATAAGCAGGGGAAACAGCAGTGTGGTTTCCAAGCCCAGCAAAGCCAAATGCCGGCAGCAGGAAGCCAAGATTAACATGGCCTGTTGGATTTAAGAGGGATTTATGTAGGAAGCAAGTAAGGAGGAAGGGAGTTATTTGAGTGTTACCATACACAGTCTTTAAAAGCATCAAAGAAAAAAAAAAAAAAAAAAGGAGTATGAAGAAAAGCAACAGTGGGCAGACTGAGGTGCAGAGATTGTCCTCTGTGGTCTTCATAGGAGATGATGGCCTCCAAGGAAGTTAGAGCCTGATGCAAGAGGCCTGTATGGTATGTAGATGTCCATCATGACATTCAGGTCCTCTGTAGATGCTGTTATGATTGCTTGGATGCCAGCTAACCAAACGTCTCTGTAGCTGCCTGCTTAGATGATTTCCCCTGAAGTCTCCATGGTAGACCTGAATGAAGATAATGGAAACCAAAGACTCTCTGTAACCTGTCCTAAAATATTCATTAAAACCTCTTGTGGTGGCTTCAAGCGGTACAAGGTACCTGGTGTGCTCCTCTCTGGTGGTTTGGCAGGAAGATGGATTGCTTCTCAGACCTGAAGTTGTACAGGGATGAGTGACCACAAGGACTGCCCTGTTTTCATACGATGTCTTCACCTACCCTTTAGCAAGAAGCTCTGGTAGAGTAGAGTAGAGTAGAGTAGAGTAGGGAAAGGTAGGGAAGGGTAGGGTAGGGTAGGGAAGGGTAGGGTAGGGTAGGGTAGAGGTGTGGAGGACCAAGACCCTAGGCAAGGTGCTGATCTCCGCCATTGGGATTGGAAGTCCTTGCTGCTCTTGGAGGAGGAGGAGATGGGGCTCAGCACTTCATGACTGTGGTTTTTCATCACCGACTTGTTCATTTGGTGTGTGTTTTCTGGGTCATTTTCTCCAGCATGCCTTCAACCTTCTTATTTTCTCACTTTCCAGGGGAATAAGGCTTAAATACTGAGTCAGGTGAAATCCTGTGGAGTGCAGTCGTAGGCCTAGTGCCMCGACTGTTGGAGAAGACACTTGGGCTCTACATCTTGGCTATGCCCATGGCCTGTTTGCTGGTAGTTTATTGCTTTCAGGAATCCTGTCTCCTTGCTGCATAACATCTCTCCTTTTCTCCTTGCAGGTTATCCGACRGGATACCCAACAGCTGCCCCAGCCTACAACCCAAACATGTATCCAACCAGCAGCCCCGGCTATGCCCCAGGTAAAGCCAACGTCGTGTGTGGAGATAACGTGTTTGAAGGGTGCAGGAGAATTAACCTTTGCTACTTGGTGTACAAACACCTCTGTCTCTGCATGTTAGTTGGTAAATATTTTGCTGATACATGTACCAGCTCCTGCAGGAATTTCACACCATTCATTGGGAAAGTCTCTCCGGGTCATAAAGCACTTTTGAGCCCTTAATTATATCTTAAAGCTCATCCCGGGAGTTTTTACAGTCTTACTCACTGTGATATCTGCACGTTGACATTTTTTAGTTTTTTCTGGATATCACATGATTGCCTTTCCCCTTCTCTTCTCTGTCTTGAAATGGCTCTTCCAGGGAGCAGCAGTCTCTTCCTAGATGGACACAGGAACTGCTCTCCCTTAGCCTTGATGTTATCTGCAACAGCATCAACCACATTTTTCTCCTTAAAGTCTTGTTTTTCCCGAGCTTTCCCAAGCTGCCCTTTAATTCTGCTTCCTACTCTGCTGCAGCATTTCCATCACAACATATCCTTCATCTCCCACTTCCAGTTTTCCATGCAAGCTGGACGGGCAACGTATTCATCACCCATAGCTCAGACCCACCTCTGGAGCCTTCTTCTCTATCCCTCTGCCTCACTTGGGCAAATTCTCTTGCTTCCTTCCAGCTTTAGCATAAAGGTGTCTTTCCCAGCTGTCTGCTTTAGCCATGTCATGTCCTTCTTGCATGGTAGCAAGTGGAGGACACTCATCTTTCCTCACAGAGCCTCCTCCCATGCTGTCTGTCATCTCCTGCAGGGGAGCCACCTCTGCTTGCTCCTTCACACTGTGCCTTTCTGAGCAAGTGTCCCTGCTGCTATTCCTTGTCTCTGCTGTTCCATGACTCTAGAATTCTGTGGTTCTGTGATGCTGTTCCTCTCACTAAGCAAGAGCTTCCTGTAGTTGCCTACAAAGACGTTCTTCAATTGACTGCTTCCTTTAGCAAAGTTTTATTACAAAAGTCCATGCTGGGAGCCACACTCTCCTTCTCCAAGAAAGTTTCTTTAAGAAAAGGAAGGGAACAACACTGTCAGAAGAGAACCACAGACACGGAGAAGTAGCTTAATCTTCCTGTCCAATGTATTTGCTAATTGGTAAGATCCAGCATCTACCATAAGTTTTCTTCAGCACAGCACAAACTAATGAGGTTCTGCATTTAATGAGGAACACTTGAGCTCCTCTGCTTGGTGGATCAGTTGGTGATYGTTTGAGTCAAATGCTGGACATCTTTAGAGATGTCTATTACTTTCTGGAGTAGTTGATGGCTTCTTGGCCCTTTGTTCAAGTTAGAATTTAGCTGAAGTTGAACATCCAATGAAGTATTTTGCCGAAACCAGACCTTTCAAAGGGCCAGGCAACACTTTCCACTGCTGGTGGCTTTTTAAGCCGGATGAAGGCCTCCACTTGCAGAAGATGAGCAGTGKGTGGGAGCCTCTTTACATGATAACGGATGATGGAAAATGAAGAGCCAAGGAGCAGTTTCCAAACATTGCACTGCCCTATGGCCAAAGAACTTTTGAGGTAGAGTGTGTTATGAGAAGAAGGAAGAACCTTTCTATTAGCAACCCTGAGATCAAAATCCTATTCATTAGCTGCAGTAGTGTCKTATCAGGGAGGCGTTGCTAAAGGATGTGATCACATAGGTCAAATCCAAGAATTTGTGAGACCTGGACTGTATCCAGAAAAGCACTTTCAAAATCAGGATGGTGCCCTTTCTTTTTTTTTTTTTTTTTTCCTGCTTTTTACCACAAAGGCCTGAAAAAACATCTCGCACTCACTTCTGAGACGAAAAACAGTGTTTGGACTCGATCGCTTTTCTTGGTTTTTGGGTTGCCTGAGATGTTTATTCTGAACATTTTTGCCTCCAAAAACACAAGCCGAGGGATTTTCAAACTTGGGAATAAAGGTGCCTTTTCAGGCCCGTTGGTGCTGGGGACGGAGCACAAAGCAGAGCTTTGTGGCCGCCCTGCTCCTCGGAGCGTCAAGTTCCCGCTCCATTGGCTGCTGGAGCCGGGCGGTCGCTGCCAAAACCCCTTTGGGTTCCATCTTCTGCTCATCGATGAAGGTCTGTTATTTTGCAAGGCTGTTAAATAAAGCCAGTTACTCTGGGTGCCTCTCTGAGGGATCAGTTTTATTTTTTTCCGTGTTTTCCTGTGTCATTGGAGCGCTCTTTCGGCATGTTTCCACATGCTCATAACCTTGGAAAGRTCCTTGCCCCACTGTGTGCATGCTGACCATCCAAAATATTGAGAGAGAGCCATGAAAAGAGTCCCATCATGCAAAAAAAAACCCCACAAGTTTATTAGTGGTTGGTGTGGCAGCATCCTCTGTGCTCTGATGGGGAAGGAAACACAGGGGGACTTCTTCATGTCAGCCTGGGCATGATGAAAATGCAAAAATATGGGCGAGCAGCTGTAAGTTCAAAGTGGTCAGGCTAAAACTAGCATGTCTGCCTTTCTATGCAAGCCTTGACAAGTAAAAGTCAGCCCCATTGGACAGTCTTACTCTCTGTTTGCACCCTGGTGCTATAGAGTTCTGGCATGAGCTTGGACACACAGGAACCCAAGAGATGTTGGAGAAGACGTAGCACCTCTGAAGAGCATCAAAAGGAGGCACCTCCTGCCTGACGTCTCCAGGAGTCAAGGCTGGAGGGTGGGTCAAGCTCTGACATGCAGGATGAGAGCCACCAAGGTGGAGGTAGAGGAAGGTCACCATGGTGTCCCTGCAGATAGGCTCTTCAGCATTGCTCCTTCKGAGTGTGATGGGATGCTTTGATGCGTCACACCTGGTCCTTGCCTTGGGTTGGCAAAGGCAGGAAAGCCCGACTCCAAGGAAAGTCAATGTCTCCAAAGTGCCTTGTAGCATGGAGGTGTTTCTCACTTGGCCCCTGCAATGGCATGTCCATCCTACAGGCAGSAGCTTGGCCTCTGGATGGGGAGACAGTCAAGGGGGCACCCACAGGAGAGACAGCCTCCACTTCCTGCAGGGATAGGAGGTTTTCTGGGGTCCTTAGTGCTTMTTGTCCATCACAGTCCCCATGATCTGGAGACTGGCATTTGTATTAGAAAAGATACTGAAATAAACCTTAGAATTGCTGTCACCCTAACAGTAAAGAAGTTGCTCCTCACCTGGAGACGGAACTTCTTGTGTTTCAGCTTGTGGCCATTACCCCTCGTCCTATCGCTGGCCACCAGTGAGAACAGCTTGTCCCCTTCCTCCCTGCATTCTCCCTTCCTGAACTTATACATATTAATCATATCCCCTCTGAGCCTTCTCTTCTCCAGAGAAAACAGGCCCAGCTCACTCAGCCTCTCTTCATACGAGAGATGTTCCATTCCCTTAATCATCCTGGTTGCTCTTCTCTGGACCCTCTCCAGAAGCTCCACGTCCCTCCTATACTGGGGTGCCCAGACCAAGAGAGGACAAGGAAACCACCTGTAAAAGGATAGCCCTAGATCTTAGGGCTGCAAAGAGGGTGTTGTGCACGTTAGGACTCATTGGTGAACAGCTCTCTGTGCATCACCAGTCAAGAAAAGGCATCTACAGCCTGAGAAGGAYTCATCAGGAGAATGAGTAACACTAGTGGCCAAAGATGGCCAAGTGTGGCAATTCTTCTGCAGCATCCTGCTGAGATGCCCTGGGAGAGAGGGACGTGCATTATGCCAAGATTTCAGTTCTTTGCAGTCATGTTGAGAAGCACGGTGGCAGTGGCAGGAGATGTGAGACAAGAAGGGCTTTCTCCCATGCAGAGGACTTTGAGCTTTGATTTAGTTGTAGGGAGGAAGACTGAGAACCAATAATTGTATTGATTCCCAGTATTCAGTGCTGCTGGATCCTTCTTGGATTAGGATTTCTGCCTAGGAAAGGAGCGGGGTATGTCCCATACAGCATGATGGAAAATTTACTTCCCAATCTTTACAGTCTGATCATCCATTTGCCTGAGCAAGTGTTGAACATTGGTCTGCTGATGGGTTCAAGGAGCTGGTGGGAAGGACCTGGAGGAAGGAGTGAGCCCATTGCATGGGGAGCACCAAGGCTGGTGCTTCCTGCGCTCTTAGTTATACCCAGTGAGAGTTGGGCTTCTTGTGGAAAAAGGCGCTTGATGCCTTCAAAATCCCCTCTCCATCCTACGTGCTGTGGACCCTGTGTAAATGAGTGAGGGTTGCCAAGCCAGGCTTTGCCAGGCTGGCTTCCAGGGAAAAGGGGACATCTGAATAGCATGCCGAAGAAGCTGCCTCAGCCAAGGAAAGGTTCTCCAAGGAGGAGATGGGGATAATCAGGAAGGAAATTCCAGCAATAACCATCCRGGACCAGCTTCCCACCTTGCCAGGTGGGGCAAAAGCCCATCTGCGCYGGTCCCATAGGAGCATCCCTGCAGGGACTCCAGATGCTCCAGGACATGTCAGCTTTACCGCTAATTTATAATTCCCCAGCGGGGATGCCGGGTTGTCACCAGTCCCAGGTGGCATCTTCCCTTTCTGCATTGCTGCACGCAACGGAAAAAGCCCAAAAGGTGGATTTGGAAGGCAGCACGTTGGGCTTGTCAGTCAGCTCTGCTTTCAAGCCCTCAAATACAGAAACTTTGATTTTTTCCCTACTTCTGTCCTGGATGCTGTAGCTGTGGGTGTTCTCTCTTTCATTAAACAAACTCAACCTTCGCCTGCCTTTGATTCGTGCTGTATTTTTATCGCTATAATACTTTGCAGCAGGCCCTTCTGCGGATTAATTAAGGCTCGAGTTACTGATTTTCTTTTCTTTTCTTTTTTTTTTTTTTGAGCAATGCAAATCATTGAGTGTTGCTTTAGATTTGCATTATGTGAAAGGGGGAAATGAAAGCCCTGGTCAATCTTCTTTGTGCCCCTCCGCCTTTTGTTCCTTTCCCAGACTCTTCCTTCTGAAGCGCAGTCCTAATCTTTCCCCCTTTCTTGCTATATATACATATACATATATAAAATCCTCTGATCATTTTTGTCACCAGCTCTTCTTTTTTTTGTCGCCCGGCTTAATGCACAATCAGGAGAATTCACAGCTGTCTTGACATTTACATTTACATTTTTTTTTAATTATTTTTCTGTTTGTGCTTTATTCAGAATACTTTTAATAATTCCTGTGTTGTAAAATGGGAAGGTGGAAAGGCCAGCAAGCTGACAGATCGTTTCCCATTGAGAACAAAACAATCTCCTGGGACATGATAATGTCGTGGCCCAACACACTGAATCGTTAAACCATCAAGGAAAGGGCAACGATTAAAAACCGCTATTCTTAGCTCTTTTGGTGGACAAATGTCCCTCCTGCTCATGAAGGGTCATAGCAGGTTTGAAATCAATACCTTTAAAACCTTTAAAACCCCTTATTGAGGGTTTTTTGACTGCATTTTGAGATATGCCATGGTCCAGAGCCCTCAACTTGCTYCTGCTTGGAGACCTTGGGGCAGAGCCAAGGCTTTGGAGGCAGCCTTGGCTCTGACCTCCCTCCAACTCAGAGACTTTTCCCCATTCCTTGCATTTCCCCACTAGCGTTTATTGAATTATATTTTTACGAATCTGATTCTGACTTGGGCAAAGCATCTCCTGAAGCCCCTCGTGGTCTTGGATGCTTTGGACCTCTCACCATTGTGCCCTTTGGCAGAAGCCACAAGAAAATGGACTTGAAGGAGAAAATAAAGCCTTTTTTTGAGAGGCAACGGATGCAAAACAAGCTAGATGAAACATCCTGTTGGTGTTTGCTCAGATGGACTCAGTTGCTCTCAGACAGTGGGCTGCAAACAGCCTGGTTGCAGCCCATAATGCGCTGTTGAGGTGCCCCATCATGGAGGACATCTCCATGAGATCTTCTGCTCCCCAGTCTATCGCATCAGCTGGCAAGGGGTCTGTATTTTGAGGCCTCCTGGTCCAAGGTCTCAGCAGAAATCCTTAATGAGCATTGAAAAAGCCATCAGCAAAATGATGACTTGGTTTACTTGACCAAGTTTCCGTGACCAAATTTCTAGTGCATTTAGGGACTGGACACCTGAGTTTCCTCATCTAGAAGAAGCTCATGAATGTGCTCCTTAAAGCTGCTTGCAGTGGAGGGTGGGAAGGGAAGAGCATCTTTGACTTGTGGTGTGCTGATTTGCTACGATAGAGCCCAAATATATCAAAAAATAAAAGATTTGATGCTGCAGATTTTTGATTTCCTCACTTAGAAAAGCATCATGAGAAATGAGGAGGCCTTTGGAGAGACCCAGGATCCTCTCGCTCCCTCCAGCCCCAGACACATGGGGAAGGGAAATCAGTAGCTGGAACGGGCCTGGATTTCTTCCTCACTCCACCCAGTATTTCCTGCAGAGTCACTGACATTTCTGCAAAGCAGATTTAAACCCAAAAGCCCGTTAAACTCCCCAACAACTCACTTTAAAGCAGCCCTCCCAAGTGCTGCAAGCTCCGATGCCCACCTTAAGCCTGGCCTTTTAGGACCATTTTGCTGCAAAAATCTCCCTTTCAAGTCTGGAAAAAGCAGCACCCAAGATCACTCTGCTGCAGAAGCACGAGACACATCGATAATTTTTTTAAAAAATACTTAAAAAAAAAAAAAAGCTTTAAAAAAATAGTAAAAAAAAATCTATTTCTTCATTAACGCTAGGCTGTGCCTCCTCCGAGGCGTTCTGCTGCCCTGCGATGGCTGCTTGGTTTTAACACCCGTCATTAAGATGTGATTTTTAGGTTCTGGAAAGTAGGACACGCTCTTTGTGCAGCGGCTTGGGCTTCAGCCGCCGCTATCAATAATGCAGCAGGGAAGAGAGCTCTGGATCTGTTCCTTCCGTGCCCGTATTGAGYGGTTTCCTCAGCCTTGGGAATGGCTGAGGACCTGGTGGGGTGGTGGATCTGAGTGATCCCCATCCCTGTTTCTGGATCCTGCCTGGAGAAAACTTCCATCTGTGGCACAACATGCAGACTTCTTTCTCTCCTGGAGTGCTCTAAATCATGACCTGTAGACCCCCCTTGATGACTCTTTGGATTTCCCAGGGATCCAGTCATTTTTTCATGACCATCCAAGGGGAAAAGCTAAACCCAATCCAGGAGATCGTGGCAGGAGATAGAACTTAAATGATATTAAATAATCGTGGCTGGATTGTCACCTGTGTGAGCTGTAGCTCTTGCAAAGGTCCAGGAGATGCTCTCTATTCCTAGATGCCTTGGAGGACATTCAAGGGGAATCTCTTTGGATGCTCCCTGAGACAAGGTCTCCATTGGTCATCTGTCATCCCCACTCCATGTGCTCCGAGGCAGTCATCCTTCTTATGTACGTGCTGRCAACATGGTTGGTTATGGAGCAAAGAATCCAAATGTAGAGCTGGTGCTGGTTCATCACAGAGATGTGCTGTGACAATTAAATCAGTTTTCCTCTTTTGGAAAACTAAAGATGAGCAGATACCGTGAAGWGGATACTTCTCAAACCCCAAAAGAGCTGGTTCCTGAGGTTCTTCTGGCTTGTCTCATTTGGCCACTTTCCTACAAGCCATGATTACAGGACAGCTGTCCAAAGCCCCTGCTCCTGCTGCCTGTTTCTCCAGCATTTCCTATGGCCATGCTTGGTGTGGAATGGGATGGTCATGGCTACCAAGGACCAACATCTGCAGGACCCACCAGGTGCTCATCTCCAACCAGCAGATCTTCAGGAATGTCCCCAAAGCCATCCCAGATGGCCATGTCCCCAAATGCAGATCCCTGTGCAGGTCACTTGGATCAGAAAAGTGGTTGTTTGAGGTAGGCAACTTCATGGTAGCCATACATTGGTCCTCCTTGAGGAACAGRCAACAGGAGAGGAAGCTCAGCGTGAACTTCCCCCATGGGTTCCTTCTTTAAAAGAGGAGTTAAGGCAGAGGGTGGCAGSGTGGTTAAAACGTGACACAAAGGTGGGATGTGGTGGCTTGGTTGCAACGTTGACACATGGCACTGGCTGGGTGTAACACTTCCTTTCTGTCTCCTCTCAAGCTACACTTCTGATGAAGCAGGCCTGGCCACAGACGTCCTCCTCCTGTGCCACTGAGGGCACCTTCCACCTCCCCGTGGACACTGGGACTGAGAACAGAACCTACCAAGCTTCTTCTGCAGCATTCAGTAAATAAACCTTTGCTTCTGGGGTTCTACCTGTTTTTGTTGTTGTTGTTGTTGTTGTTCCCGTTTTGCTCTCCTCGCTTTCCAGGAGCTTGGAAGTGGGGTTATTTGGGATGGATTTATCAGGAGAATTGCAACCAAGGGGACTGTTCCTCGTGAGCATGCAAGCTTGCATGCAGGTGCACACGAATGTGTGGGACCTTCCTTGAGTGCTGAGCCTAGGTGGAGCATCCTTTGGGTGCTGTGGGTCCCTGGGTGCTCCAGCACCCACCTTCAGGAGCTTCCTAGCAGGCTCTCCAGCAGGACCAAAGCCAGGATGCCCTCCCTAGAGGCTTCACTGCTTGCAGGAGAAGACAGGGTGAGAAGAGGTTGACGTGCCCTTGGGTGGCTGCACGATGTTCCAGATTATCAGCTTATCTGGACTTTCGAACGGGGCTCTATGGAAGAATTAGACGTCCTTCAGATTGGGCACCCCAAACTTAGCTCACTGTCGAAATGCGGCACCAGCCCCAGGGGACTTGCTGATCCCGAGAAGACGTTAGATGGTCGCAATTAGGCTTTCAATCACCTGCCAGCCACGTGTTTCCAGGCGCCTCACATCTCATCTGGTGTCATTAAAACTTGATTGCAAGTCATTTTTAGCCACCAACTGATGCGAACTCTTCTTTTTTTTTTTTTTTTTTTTTTAATTCTCATTTACAAACGTTGGAGGTGACATCTGCTGAGTACTTTGGTAGTAGAGCTGCTAAATTCTCTGTGATTTGCCAGTCAGGGAGCTCCACGGGGAGTTCTTTGCATCCGCATTCAAAGCAGTTGAACCCCGTGATGTTCAGCCTGGCCGTTGTCTCCTGATGGGTCATCTGACACAAAGGTTGACCCCAATAAGTGGAACTTCCCAAATTCTCCATGTTCTGCCAAAAAAAAAAAAAAAAAAGGAGTTGAAAGCAGAAAAAACACCAGAATAGCAAAAAAAAAAAAAGAAAGTTTGTCTGTCTGTGAGCAGCACTGTGATGTTTCTGGTGGAGCTTCCAGAAGAAGGACCCTCCACTTCTGCTGATGAACATGGAGCAGGACACCTTCCTTTTTCTGAAGAAGAAAAGTCCTGAGATTTTCCCYGAACTGAACGCTTGAGTTTTGGATGAAGTATTGTGCAAGTTGACTCCTGCTTGGAAGTACCTCTGGAGATGGGGAGTTTGAGTCCTGGCCTAAAGGGATCCTCCATCCAGGTTGTCTTTACCTGGATGGAGACCATGTGGCCAAGTTCAAGATGTCCCACAACCTTCACACTGCAATCACCCAGTGGGCTCAGAAGAGGCTTTAAAAGAGGATTTAAGCTCTTAAATGACCTTTGCTGTTTGAGCCTTCAGGAAAGCTTATCTTTCCCTGACCTTTCTCACAAGTCTATCAGTAGAAAGATATCTTTGAAAGACACCAAAGGAAAGTGGAGACGCTTAGGGGATCTCCTGCCTCTAGGAAGAGCACTTTGAAAAAGAAAAACAACAAATCTGGGGGGGAATTGTGAGAAGATCTCATGAGGTCTTGCAGRAAGAGCAACGTGACTTTATACAACCCACAGAGCTCTGAAATACAAAGAGAGCCCAACGTTGAGCAAGAGTCATGGTCAATGGGTGAAGCCGAACGGTTCCTGCTGTCATTTTTCTGCGAAGCCGTAGGGCAGTTGAGGGGATTTGGGTGTCATTGGTGATTTAGGCACCTGCGTGCCCGTGCCCGTCACCTCGGATGTGGCTCCAACGCTTGCTGCTCTTGTCTTGCCAGGGTACACCGCGGGGACTCCCTACAAGGTCCCGCCGACCCAGAGCAACAACGCGCCTCCRCCCTACTCTCCGTCTCCGAATCCGTACCAAACGGCCATGTACCCCATCAGAAGTGCCTATCCCCAGCAGAACCTGTACACCCAGGTAGGTGTCCTGTGCTCACCACGGCCACCAGACAAAGCTGGATGAGGCCCCGACAACTGATGGCTGGTGGCATCTCACTAGCTTTGCCCTGTGGTTGCTTCCTGGTGATGATGTGCCCTTGTCRTGGTGCGCTGCAGCGACCAGGAGATTCAACATAGGGCTGGTGTCCTCCAGAAATCTTGTGGGTCATAATCTGTTCAGAGTAGCACTTTCCCCATCCCAAAGGTCCCCGTCACCCTATCCTTCGGTGGCCCAGGGACTTGGTCATTCAAGTTATGCTTCCATCTAACATGAGAACTCAGCTCTTMGCACGTGCAGAAGGCACTGGGAAGGGTTGACCAAACTCCTGGACCCTGAACCACAGTCCAAGGACCACCAGACACGTACCCAGGTGCTGGTTCCCACTGATTTCACCTGGTCCTCAGTTTGGGACCTGCTGGTGAAGCAAGGAGGGCAAGAAGAGCCCTCTCTTCTTCCAACCCCAACTGGAGGTTCAGATCAGCCAATAGCCTCCTACCATCCCAACCCGTCACAGGCAGAAGGGGCACCACACCTGGACGTACCATTGACTCCTCGAGTGGYTGCAGGAGCAAAGAGAGGTTTCATAGCATAAAAACCTGCAAGGGAGCATCTGGGAGAGGGACCTGTTGGTGGGTGTTCTGCTCACCTTGCACTTGCAACCCTCTCCACTGGGGATTTTGCTTGGTGGCAACTAGGGTGGGCTAAGAAAGCTCTAAGAAAGCATCCAGTGACCCAGATCCAGTCACTGTGGCTCAGCTGGTGGAAGCTGCCCAAATCCCTTTCTGCAGATTGGAATTTGTCCAAGCAGTCTTTGTAGCTCCCCAAAAGAAAGTGGTCATTTAGTAGTAGAGCTGCAACCCATTCTGCTCTCAAGCCCCACCTTTGGAGGTCCTCCAAAGGCTTCCATGAGCCCATGATGAAATCTCATGACTTTTTTGGAACGCTCTAGTCTTTCCCACCCACCCTCTTTACAAGTGAGCAGCTGAAAGATTTGGGGCATGGTTCCCATTTCACCCCCAGGCAGCAGGRCATGTCCCCAAAGCTTTGGTTCACCATGTGGGATGTGGATCTCCTTCCAGCTGCCATTGCCCTCATCCTTCCTGTGGTTCAAGGGTGTTCTGTGGCAGTATTTTTGGTGGGATCTACCCAGGTCTCACTTCTCCACGTCTTCAGACACTGGCGTGTTCTCCTGACCATGGAAAGGACCAGGAGCAAAGAGCTGCCTCATTTTTGCAGAACTCCAATGGTTTTCCACCCTTTATGGTTCAAACCAGGTGTAACATCTGCTGGTCTGGAGTAGGGCTGGAGACCTGCAAGGCTTGAGGGTGTCTCCACGAGTGGTTGTCACCCATGGGGCACTCCTGGAGTCCTCTCCTATGGGGATGTTCCAAACTTGCCCAAATGTGACCCTGTGCCCCATACTCTGAGTGTCCCTGTTTGAGTAGAGGAGTTGGACTCAATGATCTCCAGGGGTCCCTTCCAACCTCAACCCTTCCGTGGCTGACTCTGTGGCCTCTCTTGTCCCCTTCTCCAACAGGGCGCTTACTACACCCAGCCCGTGTACGCGGCGCAGCCCCACGTCATCCATCACACCACGGTGGTGCARCCCAACAGCATCCCCTCGGCCATCTACCCGGCGCCCGTGGCCGCRCCGCGGACCAACGGCGTGGCCATGGGCATGGTGGCGGGCACCACCATGGCCATGTCGGCAGGTAAGATGCCTCGCGCTTCTCCCACYGCTCTTCCAGGAGGAGCAGAACAAGCTGCTCCTTGGGGGTTCCCACCTCCAAGCTCCTCCTGGAAGATGCTTTGGGTCCATCCGCCTACGTTCGGTGACACTGGATAAAAACACCGACCTTGGTTTGGCCAAGAAACATCAACTTTGTGGGGTTTGCTTGCAAAAAAACCCACATCTAAGGTGGCTTTTGCAGGAACGCTGCTGACCACACCGCAGCACACCGCGCTGGGCGCCCACCCCGTGTCCGTGCCCACGTACCGTGCCCAGGGCACCCCCGCCTACAGCTACGTGCCGCCGCACTGGTGAACCCGTAAGTGCCCCCGCGCGCCCCCAACCTCGTCCCCGTGCCCCCCGACGTGTCCCCACGGCTGCCACCAACCTCGTCCCCGCGCCCACCGGCCGCCTTCGCTCTCTTGCAGATGCGGCCCCGGACGCGACGACGACGGGGACGAGCGCCGCAGCACCCGCCACCCACCCACCCACCCACCCACACACACACACACGTGCACGCCCGGAGTGCAAGGGTCACTTTGCTGCATTCTCTAGTGGTTTTTGTAAAAGCTGCTTTTTCTAATCTCCCGCCTCCCTCCCTCCCTCCTCCCGTTCGCCGCCCGCCCCGTCGTGCCACCCGTGCCCACACCGAGCAATAGCGAAAAGGTCCCGCTCGCCGGCCCCGGCGCTCCGCAGCTCCAAGCGGCCCCTTGGCCTTCTCGGCATTCCTCTTTTTTTGCTCTTTTTTCCCCCATTTTGTTGTTTTCTTTTTTTTTTTCACCCGGGTTTAGCAAAGCCCGAGCAGCCAGGGCGGGAAGAACAAAAAAAGCGCAGCCCGTTCCCGACTTCGGCTCGGTTTTAATTGCACCGGAGGGAAATGATTTCATCTTCCGTATCTTCTTTTGGGGGGGAATCAATAAAAATTGGTGTCTTCCAGCGAGCCGGTGGGAAGCGCGCGGCCCGGCCCTCCTTCCCAGCCAGTTTTCCCGGCAGCTCCGAAGTGGGAAGCGCCTGGAGAAGCAGGGCGAGCCGCCCGGTGCAGGGCGAAGCCATAGCAATAAATAGCGGTACCCTAAGAGTGGGAATAAAATGGGGGGGGTTGGTTTTTATTTTATAATTTTTGGCCCCAAATGGCAGCTCTTGGGGTGCTGGTGTGCGAGGCTGAGCCGGGCGGTCGCCTTCCTTTGGAGGGAAGGGGAAAGAGGGAAGGAAAAGGGAAGGTAAAAACAAAAATCCCCGCGGTTTTGGCTGCTTTTTCACCCGGGGGGAAATGAAACTTTTAATTTGGGGAGGGGAAAAATGTTGCTGGAAGGGGACATGTGCTCTAAGGGTGAGCAAGTGACCCTGGGCTGCTTTAGCACCTGCCCCTAATGCAAGGCTGGAGCGGGGGAGAGAAGAAATTAAAATAGGTCTTACGGAGCGGCAGCAAAACACATTTTATTTTATTTTACTTTATTTTACTTTATTTTACTTTATTTTATTTTATTTTAT